GCGGCCGCCCGTGCCTTGGCGGTTCTCTGGGACCATTCTGCCCCGCTGAGCCTTGACAGGAGAGTCCAGGAGCTGTGCGGGCCCTGAAGAGGGTGAAGGCCTCGACGCCGTGTAAGGTAAAAGCGCAGGGGAAACAGACGTGCGGGCAAGCCGCTGTGGGCACGGGAAGGAGGAAGGCCGCGGCTCCGGAGTGAGGCAGGCTGGGAGGGAGGGGGCTGCGGAGGGGCGTGGCCTGGCCTGGTGGGCGTGACCAGCCACGGTGGGCGGGGTTGGCCTCAAGCTCCTCCCAGGCGCCACAGCCTAGTCCTTCACAGCCAGGGCGCTGGGGGCTGGCCCAGGGGTCACTGGGGTGGGCATTTCCCGTGTGGCTTCTAGCACTGTTATCTGTTCAATCGGGTGGAAGGAGAAGGGTGTGAAAGCTCTTAGCTTGGGGTCTGTGATGATGACGGTCACAAAGTACCCTAGGCTGGCCTGGAACTTGTGATCCTCCTGCCTCAGACTCCTGTGTGCTGGGATTACAGGTGTGACCACCACACCTGGGAAGAACTGAGTCTAATTTTTTCATTTGTTTTGATCCTGGGCCTTGAACTTAGGGTCCGGGCTCCGTCCCTTAGCTTTTATGCTCAAGGATTACACTCTACCACTTCAGGCACACTTCCACTTCTGGCTTTTTGCCGGTTAGTTGGAGATAAGAGTTTCATGGACTTTTCTGCCCAGACAGGCTTTGAATTGTAGCCTTCAGATCTCAGTCTCATGAGTAGCTAGGATTACAGGTGTGAGCCAGTAGCGTACAGCAAGAGTCTAGCTTTCTAGGCCAGGGCTGAGGGCTTGTGGAGAAGACGGCTGAGAGTTGCCTGGCTGGAGTTAAGCCAAGAGGGGAATCTTTGTCATCTTCTGCTCTGAGCTAAGGCAGTTCACGAAAAAAAGTAGAGCTGCTGCATAGGGCGGATCTTCCAGAGAGGGTGGAGGGCAGGAAGCATGCATCTGGTCAGCTGCCATACAAGTAGTAAGCCTTTGGAAGTAGCAATCAGTGCTTGGGGTGGTGTGAGGTGTGAGTGGTGTATGCTCTGATCTAAGTGTGGTGGTCCAGGAAGCCACACAGGTGTGTGTTTGTGTGTGTGTGTGCCTGTGCATGTGCATGCATGTGTGCATGCACACACATGCTCATGACCTTCCAGGCACCTCAGGAGCCAGCACAGAGGACACCCTCTGTTGACATCTTGGCTGAAGCAAGGTGAGCAGGGAAGGAGGCTTGCTTACAGACACAGATGGGTTGGGGCAGATGGCTCAGGATGGGTGGGCCTGGGGCAGAGTGACCATCTTTGTGCTGCTGCCATCAATGGAGCTGGCTTGCTTTTCATGCTGTGTTCAGCGCTCTCTGTGTATTCTTCTTTCTCCCTGGAAGGAACGATCCCAGGCTCCCCTGAGCCTCCAGGAAGGCTGCTCTGGGTTCCTGGGTGGAGGAGGGGAGCTGCCTGCGGCGTGCCAAAGGTCTCAGAGTGTGTGGTCCCCCAGAGCCCACGTTCCTTTATGTAGTCACATTTGATAAAACTTGTGCTTGAAAATGGGGCATTTATTTTTAGCTTCTCCAGATGGCAGGTTTTGAGGCCAAGATAGACTGCTGCCACTCCATGCCGCTGGCTTTGTGTCTGCTTCAAAGAGGTGGGTCTGTGCAGCGCGCCTCTGGCTCATCTGTCCCTTGTTCAGCCGGCATGTCGTTGGGTGGCCCAGTTCTCACCAGAGGAGGGCAGCTGGGGGAGAAAACACTGTCATGGGTCAGGAGCCTGGCCAGTGTGAGCACCAGAGCTGGCTCTGGCTGACTTGGGCCCTGACGAAGCACGTCTGGAGGTTCCTTCCTGGGTTGTTCCTGGGAAGAGAGTCACCAGAGGGCCTGGGAAAGCCTCTGTCTGCCCTGTGTGTGGTGCAGAGCTTCAGGAGATGCCTGTGGGCCACGGCGCGGGCATCTGTTCTCCCAGCCTTACTTTCCTGTCACCTCGTTGACACTTTCTTCTTGGATTCTCATAAAAACAACTGCTCCTGCCCCATGGAAGCCATGGTGAGTGCCAGGTGTTCTTCCTGCGACCCAGGCTTCCGTGCGTCTGGCTGCCCTGAGCTGAGCGAGCATGGGGACCCTCACCTTGCCAGTCCCCCTCACTCCCGCACACAAGTGACTTTGGAGGAGGAGAGGGAGAGAGGATGTCCTTGTCATCAGGGGCAGACTCTGAGCGGGTGGGGACTCCCAGCGCCCTGTGGTTTCTTTCCCTCACTGTAGACGGACTTGGCCAGGAAGGCTGCTGACAGACAGTGGTGTCTGAGACTCACTGTGGACCTTGGCAGGACTGGGTCTCCTCATTTGTAAAATGGGGCTGCTAGGCCTGCAGGGTGTGGCGCTCTGCACCGTGCCAGGGAAGACAGCATAGGTAGACTCCTCTGGGTTCCACAGCATGCCTGCCAGCATGGCTGATACAGCCCTGCAGGGCACTCTGCTTGCTCTCTGGGTTCTTGAGTTGGGAGAATGTATTTGTGCACGTATCCCAGGCAGTGGCAGGCTGGCCGGCCTTTTAGAATGTAGCTGCTGAACTTATTTCCAGGTTCTGTGACCCGGCTGTGTCCCTGACCTGCACCTCATGTAGGGCCCAGGGCCCGACCGCCTGGCCCTCTCCCCACAGGGCCACAGTTGTGCTCTGCCTTACCTTTGACTTTTGACCCCATGGCAGGTACTCTAGAGCAGAGATGGAGGTAGCTTCTGGAGGGCAGAAGAGAGGTTCTCAAGCTCTTGGCTACCTGTGTTCCTGAAACTACACCATTTGGATGTCCGGTTAACTTGTGGCACAGCACCGAGGGCAGTGTTGTGGGGTCAGCAGATTCAGGGGGCAGCTCCAGACGCGACTTGCTCCTGTGAGGTGTGCAGCAGGATCACTTAAGGGCGGCACGCCCGTGGACAGAGCAGGTGGGGTTTGCTCAGCCTCGGGAGTGGTCAGTGGGCTGCTCTCCCCTCCTGGCAGAAGGACCCTACCACGCTCTCACCGCGGCGCCTCGGGCCCCACAGGCAGGCTCTGGCACCTGGAGTGCTCCCCCACCTCCCCCATGCCCGTCACCGAAGATGCCAGGGGCTGCCCGGGGAGGTGGCACAGTGAACCTCCAGAACAGAGCCTGACAGTGTTGAGACAAGAGGTAGGCAAATGGGTTTCTTTACATCATTTTTCTTTTCAAAGGAAGACAGTTGTGTGGCATTCATCACTAAACATGAAGATTTTGTGCATCTTTAACAAAACGGGAGAACTGATGAAAATTGAGGACTGCCGCTGACCTCGATGCGTATTACTGACACGAACCCCCAGGGGGCGACAGGACACAAGGGAGGGAGGACTGAAAGCCCAGGACTCCGTCAAAACCACCTCTAGGAAAACTCTCAGACACATTTGTATCGTAGCTAAATGAAAATACTGAACGTGATGCAGTGGAAGCATTTTAATGGGAAATTAACTGATCACACAATGTTGTTTCAATGTTGTTTTTATTCAAACTTAAATGACTGCATATTCCAGTCTTCTGACGAGCAAGGCTCCAGATTAGGGTGAGGTCTTCTCCACATTCCACTCCTCCAATCATCTTTGATTTGCGCTGTGCATTGATATGGGCTTCTCAGCTCAGAAAACAAGGCACTATAACTATTTTATCAGCTACATTGATACATTGAAGATAGGTTCATCCTCTCATTAAATACACAGCATTTGAATACAATATGGTTTATGCAAATTAGGTTCAAAACACCCAAGGCACACACTTTGCTTTTTCCTTTTGTTTTCTTCTCTGTATTTATTGGAAGGCTCATATTAAAGTTTCAGAATTGCTATGAACCAAGAGTTCCAGAGTAGAAGCTATGAACAGTGAGTGTTGTAATTTTAACATCATAAAACAGTAGAGACATGGAGACATGGCACGGGGCGTGGAGGGGAGCAGTTACCAACCGTGTGCACTGACTGGGTAGGGGTGGGGTCTGCTGAAGTCGAGGGTCCGGAGACAATCGTTGCGCCGCCACAAAGCTGGCGCTCCCCTGTGCGTGCAGCTGCCTGCCCCGCCGGCCACTGAGGCATTTCTCCACTTACGCGCGAACACGATCGCCACGGGTACAGAGATACATTCCAGATCACTGCTATTCAAATGTGTCCAAGTTCAGGCAGAAGAAAAAGTCTTCCAATAATTTGTTTCCCCTAATAAGACATTCTAATCCTCATGTAAGAAAGAGGTCTGGAAGAGACGGTTGGCTGTGATGTTGGGGTGGTGAACTATTAGAAGGTGAGGCAGGGGGTAAAACTACAGAGACTGAGGGGTTATTTAGACTTCTGCATAAATTGGGGACAGGTCAAAGTAGAAGAAGCTTTAGAAGCCGAGAACCCATTTCCACTGAGGCAGCTGGAGAGGTTCAGTATTTGAAGTTAAACACAAGCTTCCTTATGAAGCACAAGAGAACAGCGCGGGTCTTCCTGGCTCAGCTCTTCGCCGAAAGACACACATTCTCTTTGCTCCAGGCTTTAGTGTGTGGCTGGCTTATCAGAGTGTTGTCGGGCTATGTCAGCCAAAGGGGCTGCCCAGATCTGCCACTCCTATGCCGGACCTTATGGCTAGAAGGCAGTGTGCAGGGGCATGGGACAGCTGTCCTCGCAGGAGGGCCGGCAGAGCGGCTCAGACTCCTGGGTGCGCCTAGGCCAGGCCTCAGTCCCATCCTGTGGGCACCGGGGCCCCCGGTCACAGAAGCCCATTTAGACATTTGGCACATTTCTGAGATAGTATACACATTTCCATTTAGACATTGAAAATACGTAAGGAGAGGGAACCACGACTCATAGATCAATAAAAAAAGGCCTTTTTACTCAGTGAGTTTCTAGAGGTAAAGCTGGCAATGACATTTCCAGTATCCTACGTTAGATCGCAAGGTTGGCAACTCCACGTTTGTTTAGTTCAGACAGTTTTCACTGTTTGCAATCAGAACCACGACCTTAGTGCAAGAGTATATTTATTTTTTTTACAGTAATTTTGGTTGCCATACAAGAGATTTAAGGATTGGGAGAAAGTGCAAATTACAGGAGCTTTTTTTTTTTTTTTTTTTAATAAAGTCTAAAAAGAACAAAAGCACAAAAGTAACAGCAACATAGATAATGCGAACATGTGTCATTACACAAACTATAGTGTGAAACATATTCATATTCAAAAAACAAAAACAAATTGTTAATGGGAAAATTAATTTTTGAGGCTCACACACAAAAAGTTGTTGCCAGATCAACTGGATAGTGTTTGCTTGTTCAATAACTCAGAAAAAAGTCACCATTTTATTAACTAAGGTACCACAAATAATTATGTAAAGTCCAGCAAATCAACAGTCACATTGAATCAGTTTTTATAGTGTATGAATTAACCTAAATGTGCACAGACACCTGGAAAAGGTATCTTGGCAGGTATACATAATTTACATCTTGAGATTTTGGTTTTGTATACACAATTTTACAGAAACTAGGCATTTGAATGCAATTTATTTAAATTACAGTATATAACAAAAGTGGATCTTAAAACCTGGAATAATATTAACATGATCATTATATGAGCAGTTTAACATTTGCCCCGCCACAAGAGAGAGTCCTGGGACAGGGCCGGAGGGGCGGGAGGGAGTGGGCAGCGACTGAAACGAGGACTATTGCTTTCTCAGCTGAATCGCCTGGTAGAGCTAGGGATGAGTCATCTTGGCAATGTGTGTTTTGTTGGCCAGTGCGGGTTCTGACAGGCGCCACAGGGCCACGTGTGCTGTCAGCTCCCGAGGCTTCCGGTTAGTGGCATGTGGCTTGGAGTTGTAAGGAAGGGAGTAGCCGTCGTCACTGACTGGCTGCCTAAGTTTAGTGGACGCAGAGCCACCAGATCTCCTGTCTGGCACCCTGCCTGGCACTGACTTTAGAGGTAATGCCAACTGAAGGCAAAGAATGATCTGCTGAAGTGGCTGTTGAGGAAAATTTGCAGTGTTGCCCAGTGGAAGACAAAACACATGGCAGAACCACCATTTTCCATTTTCGGAGACACTGGGGCAGTCCCCCCACCCCACCCCGTGGCCAGTGGGGGGCTGGGTTTGGAATTTCTCTAGAGTGATACTTAACGTGCCTTAAGGTGGTAGAAAAACTGAAAGTACACAAAGCAAAGTGCCTTAATTTAATACTCTGCTCGCTTCCTGTCGGAGTGGATCGAATCACCAAATGGAAAGATGGGCCTGCCAAAGGATTTGGAACAGAATAAGGTCAAATACTTGGTCTCCAAACTGAGAGAGAGAGGAGAGAGAAAGAGAGAGATAGAGAGAGAGAGAGAGAGAAAAGAGAGAGAGGAGAGAAAAAAACGCATGCGTGCGCAGGGGAGGGGCGTGGGTGTTTTGCTTTTGTTTTTGGAGAAACTGCTGCATTATGAATTGTAACATCTTTTGAAGAAATAATTGTCTTTCAGCGATGAAGTTCTAGCAAAGATAGAAAATATAACACAGCTCTGCTGGTTCAGATGCGTCCAGATAAAGTTGATTTAAAAAGGTCTTACTTGTATAATTATCCCACAGAAATAGTGTCAGTAAGTCACAAAAGTTTTGTTCTTTCATTTCTAGCACTGAAGTGGCACAAAGGCTGCCCAGTAGACCAGCCACTTTTTTCTTAAAATATTGTGCTTATAAACTATCTGTACACCTATTTAAACTTGCAGTAAAGAAAGAGATTTTTAAATTGCTAAATTTTATGAGTTCATTCTAGAGTTGTTCCAGACCTCATCAAACACGTGGTCATGAGCATAAAGAAAAGAAAAGAAAAGAAATCATGTCTTATAATTAGAGATGGGCTGGGCTAGTTCTGAAATCATAATAAAACCAAACACCTGACACTCGTGTCTCCTCCAAGTGTGGAGAGCCTGGCTGGGTGCTCTGTGGCCGGTGTGCCATTGCTGACCTCCCTTCGACGTTAGAGGTATGGTTTTGGGGAGGGAGGGTGGGGGAGACCCCAGGGCCAGAAGGGGGCAGGCTTAGCAGCCCAGCCAGAGGCAGGGCTGAGGTTCAGGGGTACGCCCTGATGTCCTTTCTGTGTGCCTCTGCCCTTCCCCTGCATCCTGTGCCCCGCCCCGCCTCTCCCCTGCCCTGGGTCCTGCCCCACTCCCTGCCCACAGGGCTCTCTCAGACCCTGTGGAACTATTAAGACAAGCTGGTGGGATCCCTGGACACCCGAGAGAAGGGGGAAAGGCCCTCAGTCCACCTTGCTTGGCCTCTGAGAGCCGTGGGGCCATCTGAGAGGCAATGCTGCCCGTGCCAGGCTTAGGTGGAGGGACTGGCAGCTCGCCGGCTCCTGGCCGAGAATGCCGGCTCACCGGTGGCGGCACGTGCACGCCTCAAGCCTGTGTCTTCTTGTCCATGTCAGAGTGGATGCTCACCTGCCCCAACCGTGCGGAGCTCAACAGGCTTTCCTCAATGGCTGGAAGGAACCGTGAGTGGCCGAGCCCTCCCTTCTCGCCCTCCCAGGTCGGTGCTCCTGGAAAAAGGCCTGTTCTTGTCCTGGAGGAGGCTGAGGGTCCGGGCGGCTGCACCCTGGCCGGCCCCCTGGCAGGCCTCACTCCTCGGGATCGAGACTGTGTGCTTTACCTAACTCTGCGTGACATCTGCTTAGCCACCTTGGAAATACACTAGTCAATTGGCAGAAAGCAAGCAAGCGAGCTAAGCAAAGCTGGGCACGATCCCATGTAAACGCCCACCATGGCCAAGAACCTGTGGGCAAAGAACCATGCTGCACCTCACAGGAGGAGACAGGCAAAGATTCGGACAGGAAGAAAGTGAGTCTCTACCTTTCAGGCCCAGGAGGCCCTGGCCAAACCCGTCTGGGAGCATCTCACTGCAAACAAAGCACAGGAGACAGACAGGAGCAAGTGAGCAGCGGGCTTCCTCCAAGAGGCCACGGGACTGAGAAAAGGCCACGTGCCGGGCCCGGGAGTAGGGAGAGCTGCCCGGGAAGCGGAAGAGGGAGGTCTCAGGAGGTATCTGGAGTGCATCGGTGTCTGCCTATGCGAGCAGGGATCCCACGTGACCTCCATGAGAGCCCCGGGCCTGGCAAAGCCAGCCCACCGCATGCAGGGAGGCGTGCTGCGACCCCCCCATGTTAGAAAACCCCTCCCCGCCCACCCCGTCGGACAGAGGCTGTCCACAAAGCCCCTCTCGGGGAGCTGGACATTTCAAGGCGCTGGCTTGGCCACACCCTGGACACCCTCAGCACTTCTTTGGGTACCGGGAGACAAACCCTTGAGCGGAGTTGGTGCTCGCAGACTGCTTGGCCATCGGATGTTTCAGCATGAGCCCATCTCTACTTATAACAAAACGTCTATGAAGGTGAGGAACAGCCGTCCTTATCTGTCCAGCAGCTGTTTCAAAGCCCTTTCTATGTTCATCCTGTGCCCGACCCGAGTCACCCCCAGATCGATCAGGTCTTCCTTCTGAAGGTTTGGTAAGTGACTGCCATCGATCTCATTGTCCATGAAGGTCTCTTTGTGTTCACCCAAGTTCAGGCTTTCCAGCCAGTCTGCCACATCTGGTTTAGTCCACAGGTGGACAGGTTTAGTTGTAAAAGGCTTATTTGAGATTGGCTGTTGAAGTATTGAGGGAGATGGTGACCTGCTGCGGGGTGCTGGGTTCAAGCCAAATAGGTCCCCGGCAGGGGACTGGCCTGGAAGGCTGAAGACGTCGGAGAGTGTGGGAGAAGGAGAGGTGGCGGCGGCAGGCAGCGGGGTGGGCAGAGCCTCTTTGCTCATCTCTGTTGGCGAGACCACAGGGCTTGGGGCGCGTCTCGTAACTGAGGTCCTACTTTCATAGTCGGGGGGCCGGCTCTGCAGGGTGATGGGCTGGGAGGCGCCAGGGCGGACAGTGAAGGTGACCGTCGTGCTGCGTGCACCTGAGACAGTGCTCAGGACTTCCGCGCCTCTGAAACAGCAAGAGAGAGAGCATTACAGCCGAGTCCCGAGGAGCAAGGAGGCGCAGGCGCCGAGCCGAGGCCACCTGCGCCAGGACGGCGGGAGCACCACAGCACAGCAAGCCCGCCCCGCACCCGACCCGCCGGGAGAGGCGGGCAGGGCATCCCCTCAGGGCGTGGAGGGTGCCTGTGACGGCACCTGTCCATCTCCGCGGGCAGAGGTCATGCGCCCTGGAGAGCCCCGCTCTGCGCTGCCCTGGCTAAAGGTGCTCAGGGCTCGTGTGGTCAGTGTCAGGTCTGCCTGGGCCATGCGGGCCCTGGGCAGAGGCCTCCCCACCTCCTGGCTAAGTCTCCGCCCAGTATCTGTTACCTACGTAACTGGCAGACCTGGAAGCAGTCACCTCCCCCTCCTGCTAGGTCACGCCCTGGGCCACCTCTGGCCACAGCTCCCATCTGGCTTTAGGAGGGTCCTAGGCCCTGAGGTCACATCCGGATACAGTGTGGCCACATCTTTCCCCACCTGGCCACACCTCTTCCTGACCCTGGTCTAGATGAGTCCTGGCGGGGGCTAGGGGGGTGCGGGGAGTTGGGCGGGGGCGGGGGTTGAGTCTCCCCTTTCGGCCATGCCTCTCCACTGTGCACGTGCATGGCGGGGGCAGCAGGTTGTAAATAAACTTCTTTTCCTGTCTAAATAGCACATGGTGTTCACTTCATCCGCTACTAGTGAAACTACCTACTAATCTTTACAGTGGCTGGTCTGTCCTAAGCCAGGACTTCTCAGATGCCCACTGGACAGGTTCCCTGCAGGACGAGGGGAGGCTCACTGGCAGAATATGATCTTCTGACCAGAAGCAGAGGCTGATGGGAACCCCACTTCCCAGCAGTGGACACGGGTATCCACAGGACCCCCTGCCTTTCCCCCTCGGAGCTGGGGAGGAACGGCCCCCTCCCAGGTCTCAGTAGAAGGGGGAGGGGAGGAGGACACACCTGTCCTTGCTCACCTGTGTGGAAGTGGGTTTTTGTGAGACCTTCTGTCACCGGCGTTAGCCTGGCAGGCGCATGGCCGTACCCGGGAATGTTAGCACCACCGTGGAGCCTGCTTCTCCCTCTGCTGCCCCCCCCCCCCCCCCGCCCCGTGGCCATGCACATTGTAGAGGAAACAGAGGCTGCATCTCGGCACCAGGCTCACCAGCCCACCCACCAGGATCTGGTCGAGCCAGGATGTGCCAAATGCCGGTTTAGGTGTGGGTGGAGCCCACACGTCCCCACGCCTTTCTGTGTAGCCCGGGCCTGCTGGCTCCCACCTCTGGGGAGGCTGGTGGGAAGTGAGGAGCCCTGAGCTGTGTCAGTCGTGGGGCGGGATGGTGGGCTGTGCCCCTCCCCTCCCGGCTGGTCTGCCATGAGCCAGACGCCCCTGACCCGAGTCTGCGTGATACAGACACTGGGCATTAGCATCATCTGCTTAGGCCTTTGTCTGTCTGTCTGTTGTGCTGGTCCTGAGTGCTGTCATGGTCCCTTAGGTTTTTTTGCTCATGGCTGATGCTTTACCACTTGAACCATAGCTCCATTTCTGGCTTTTGGGGGTTAATTGGAGAGAAGAGTCTCCGCACCCTTCCAGCCCAGCTGGCTGTGAGCTGTGATCTTCAGACCTCAGGCGTGAGCCACCGGCTTTGGCCCCTTTAGGGCTGCCAAACACTCAAAAGTGAGAAGCTCCTGGAGTGGAGGGAGGGAGGGAGCAAGCGCAGGGGCCCTTTCCTTTGGGCTGCTTTTCTTTTCTACCTGCTACGTGCTGGGGAGGCGGGGGGGGGGGGGGAGCCCCAGGTGCTTATCCAGAAGCTCTCAGCCTCACAGTACTTGGGTTAACGTATTTGGTCATTATTTCAAGTATGGAACATTCCAGAATGAGGGAAGAGGGGCACATCTGAAGGGAGAGCATGCCATGGCCTTGTGTAGTGTCCGTCCTATTATGAGAAGGATTTCCAGGGCCGGTGGTGGACACCGCAGGCCAGGGACAGCTGGGTGAGGACCTCAGCCCTCACTCCCTGACATCTGTGACCAGCCTGTCCCTGAGCCCGCCCCTGCATGGGTAGGGGGTCCCACCAGCAAGCCCGGGAAGCCCTGCCACACCCTACCACTGAGTCCGAGCGGAGGCTCTGGAGCCCACGTGGGCAGCTGAGAGTGTAGGTGCTGAGGTAGGATGGCCCGCATGGCAGGGCCAGCCCGTGCAGGGTCCCTCCACGGCGCAGGTGCATCCGTGCGCGGAGGCCAGTGCCCGCACTTGCCAGGCCAGCGGAGCTGACACCGTAGCTCTGAGCAGAGGAGCCTGGGGGAAGCGGGGGGATGTGCGGCGGAGCACATCCCGCAGGAGCGCCTGGCTCAGGCAAGGCTGCGCGTTCTCTAACATTGCCTTGTGGGGGCTGTGCTCTGACCGACGCTCGCCTGTCCTGTGGTCCTGCTGGGAACACCCGGCAACCCTTCCGACCCCATCTGCCCTAGCCCGTGCCCTTCGTGGCGGGGCCTCTGAGCCCGCCCCACTGCCGTGGAAGGACTTCCCCCGCAGCCCAGGCTGACCCCGAGGACAGTGGGAGCAGGGACAGTGGCACACAGAGGACACTCATCTCGGCAGGCACGCGGCACTTACTTCTGTTCAGCATGACCCTCTTCTGCAAACACCCATCATGGGAGCAAAGGGAAATGAGACAGCACTGCAAAATCAATTAAAAAGCAAGAACACAGCAGCTTCCTTCCGGGGTGGGATGGAACGGCCTGGCCTGGGCCGAGCAGGGGTCCGTGGCAGCCCTTAACCTGGCAGGCTGCCCACCAGCCCAGAATCTGGAGGGTGGCCGCTCTCTTTCATAGCAGACAGGAAATCCACAGCCCCGCCTACTTTGGCCTCTGACATTACAGCCCTGGAGGGCAGGAAGGGTTCCAGCCTCTCCTGGAAACCTCAGAAGCAGCTCACTGTTAATTCCCTAACTCGGGCCCTGGAGACATTTTCCCTTCTGTGGCTCGGGAAGGACAAATGAGCATCTCTAGTGGAATCTGGGCTTTGCCCCGGTCTGCACCATGAGACGGCGGTCCGTCAGCCCACCCAGGGACGGCAGACTCGGCCCTGGGCTTGGGGTCCACCCAGCACAGCTAGCTACAGAAGAGCGTAATTGGGAGCTGAGCAGCTGGAGCAAAGGGCTGGCCAGCTGGCCCACAGCGTGTCTTCCCAAGAGCCTGATCCCCTCCCGTGAATCACACCGATATGATTCACTGGATCCTCCCTCATGCGCAGATCATTATGTTGCTAAGCAACCGCGGGTCTGCCGGCGGAACACACAGGGATCTGCTGCCCTGATTTAGAACAGGCACACATACACACACTCACAAACACCCCCTTCTTGGCTGATCACTCTAGCCTGCCTTTTAAATTAAATTCATATAGAAACATAAGGGGGAAAAACGCAGCCCAAGAGGGAGGGGAGCCACTCAGAGAGGCACTGCTGTTTCCTGAGAGACGCAAATGGCTTGCAGATTCAGTTCAGCCCTTGAACAGTAGTGGAGCCCACAGCTGCTCAGGGCCCTGGACTCCTGGTGCCTGCCCCGTCCCCCATGGCCCCACACCACTGCTGGAGTTCACACTCTTGGTGTGAACTGACTCATCTCTACTTTTAAGTCTGTTGCAGACGTTAGTGCCCAGCCTTGTGTGTGAACAGCCTGTACAGCCTCTCCGTGATGGGCGCTGAAGCAAGAGTGGGGTGCAGGACTGTTAAGATGCCTGTCCCGGGCCTGCCACTGGGGCCTGGGCTAGTGCCTCTCTCTCCCGGGCCTGCCACTGGGGCCTGGGCTAGTGCCTCTCTCTCCTGCGGAGCTCATGTTTCCCAAGTGGCAGAGCACTAGCGTTGAGCAAAAGAGCTCAAGGACAGCACCCAGGCCCCCAATTTAAGCCGCAACGCTGACACATGCATGCACACGCGTGCGCTCGCGCACACACGCACTGAGCCTGGCGTTGTCAGGTATACTTCAGTGAGGCTGAGGGAGTGGAGCATGGTTTCTTACAGCTCAGCCAGTGTGGAGGGGGTGAGCACAATCTAGGAGGTGGTTTCCTGGGTTCTGAGACACCGATTTGTCTCCAGCACACAGGCCCCGCCATATCTTGAGCACAGACCTCCAAAGCATCCTTCCCAGGACACCCTAGGATGCCCCTGGCCACACAGCGGTGCCGGTGCCGGGCCTGGGGTGCGGTCCGATGGCTTTCGTCCCCCCCGGTTGACGCTTATGCTTCCTGTGGCCTGCTCTGCCCGGGGCTCCCTGCCCCCACACCAGGGGCCTGCGTGTGCACGCGAGGCATCCCGATGTCACCGCCTCACGGCGGCTCCCCTCAGCCACCAGCCTGCCACGGTTCCCCCGCCGCACTCAGCACATTTGGGGTTCTTTGGTTAGTGTTTGTTGTCCTTTCCCACTGCAGGAATGCGAGCTTCCCAAGGGAAGAGGGGCCGTGTTTTGTGGATCAGTGGTAAGGCCTGTGTGCCAGTCTGCCCGTCCTCTGAGGGCCCTGGCGTCCTCCTCGTGTCCTCTTCCTGCTCCTCCCTAGGCCTGCCGCAGGGCTCAGGCAGAGCAGCAGCTCGGTGAACTGCCAGTAAGCTCAGCCCACGCCCAAGGATGAGGGCACATTGGTCCGAACCTGGGCAGCTTGTTTGTACCAAGCGCTCTGCTCTTAGACCACAGAACACCATGGACACCACAGATGCTCAACACCTTCTGTGATGTAAGAAGCAAGCGCACTGGGCGAGGAGGGGAGAGCTGGGGCTCGGGGGGTCAGAGCACGGTGCAAGCTCCGGATGTGGGGCCACTGCACAGCCATCCTAGCGCACGCAGCGGGGCTGCATGTGCGCCCCAGTCCTGAGAGGAGAGCCGGGCCCCGCAGCCACACCCATGCGGCAGCTGGCCAGTGGTATAGGTAGGGAAGCCTGTGCCTTAGTGGTGGCTGTACAGACCTCGGGTGTAGACTCCCCTGCAGGTGCTCAGTGCCCCGGACACCATGGACTGAAGAAAGTCCCCTGTCTTCCTTTTGACAATGTACTTAATCACGACGTCTCCAAACACCTTGCCATCTGCGTCGCGAGGAACCACTTCGAGGAGTAGAAGCTCAGTCATGACACTGCTTAAATTAAACATACCCAGAAAAGCAAAGAGCCTGGCATCCGGTTCTCCACCTCCTGGGTCCTGGCCAGCAAGGTGTGGAGCGTCAGAAAGGCTCCAAGGGCAAGGCAGCTGTATTAGAGCACACTCAAGGACTGGTGCCCACCTGAGGAATGAGACCTGAGGACCATGGGAGCTTGCCCCTTTCTTGGTGATCAAAACTTGTTTCTATGGAGATGGGTTTTTGCACCACGGCCTGTCTTCATTCAGAAAGCTGGGCTGCTTGTCATTTTTCCTCTTCCGGTAGGAAGGACTAACCTGTATCCACTTTGAAGCCTCACTTTGTTCAGTGAAATTCATGGCTCTTAATGTTTAGATGCATTTACAGTGGCAGTGAGGCACCCAGGCTTGAGAGTACCCTCACGTGGGTAACGTGAAATGAAGGTGGTGGAGAGGGCGCATCAGCGGTAGGTGTGAGCAGACAGGACGCTCCATGTCTGCAGCAGCAAGGCGCCCGTGCCAGAGGGCGTGCGTGATCCCCCTGGCTGGCCATAGCGCGGGTCGCACCCTCCAGGGCTTGTCCCCGGGCCCTGCCTGGTGGGGCCCTCAGGTCAGGGAAAGGCAGGTCGGAGCTGCGGCCTTGCTCTTCACTGAGGCCTGGGTGTGGGCCTGGGCTGTGGGCAGGAAAGGCTGCCACGGCCCTGGGTGAGCAGCAGTGCCAGTGGCGTCACAGCTAGTGGCCGTGCTTGCTCACTGGTGGTTGCAGGCCTCCCAGGAGCCTCAGCCTCAGACAGCTCCGCCATCCCTTTGCGACCTCCAGGCCCTCAGGCTCACAGACCGGTGCTCATTTGGTACTGGCCTTTCCTTCCCCAGCTGGCGCCTGGGTTCTGCACCTTCGCTGCAGGCCCCTGCTTCCCAGCTCTGGCCTCCAGCCTCTCATCTGTGCAGTGGGACTCTGCAGAGACCCTGTTGCTGGTGCCAGTGAGACAGGGTGTCTAGCAGGTGGGTGCTTCAGAGGTGATGGCTGGCCCTCCCACGGAGTGACTCGTGCTGAACAGAGTGGCCAGGAGGTGGTGACTTTTGACCAGCAGGCGTGGGTCATGGCTGTTCTCTTCAAGCAGTCTACCAGGATTCCCTGGAGATGGGGTCTCTGAGACCCCCCCCCTCACTGCTGGACACGCACCTAGAGAAGGGCACAGGTAGAGCCCCCCTCCGCTGTGGCAGTCCAGGAGTGGCCCGCACACTCAGGCTGCCCTGGATGTGCGTTGGACCTGCACGCCGCCCGGGGACCCTGGCTCCGGGCAGACCGCACCTCCTCACCAGCACGAACAGTGGATGTGCTTCTGCGGCTGTGGGGTTGTCTTACTCTAGAGCAGTGCGAATGAGGGGAGGCAGGGGCCAGATGCATCAGTTTGAGTCCTGGCTCTGGCTCCACCCTGCGGGGACCAGCGACTCAGCCTCTCTGAAAAATGGGTTGACTACCCGTCTCTGCCCTCCCGTGTGGTCGTCAACACTGTACGCCCAGGAGGAGATGCCTTACGTGGAGAGCACTGAGGCCCCCAGCAGACTGAGGAGCTCCGTGAGCCCAGTGTGTAATGTTTGCAGGTGAGTATGCACATGTCCATCAAAATGGGATTCCTAAGGCATTTGTGTTCTCTCCACCTAGCTGGTGGGCGGGGCATTGGTCAGCGTGCTGCCTTCCCAGGCTGCCAGCCGGTACTGCGCGGAGGGCATGGGAGCTAGCCGGCTCCTCTGTGGTGTGCATCACACGGAAAGGCCGGCCTGCTGATGGTGCACACCGTGGACATGGCCAAGGCCGTGTGAGTAAGACGGCTCGGCCTGCATCCCAGGACCCGAGTGCAGAGCGATCTCGCTGATGACCGAGTTCGCTTGTTTGAATCAGATGCCTGCCCAGGGGCAGGGGGAGGATGAGGAGGCTTCATTAGTCTCCATGATGAAACCTGAGGAGCACTGGCCTGGGCACACTGGGCCGGGGCCGGTCCCCCAGGGGAGACGCGGCCAGGAGCTGCGAGGGCTGCCGTCCCCGAGCGGCTCAGAAATCATTCCTCATTTATTTCATGCTTAAACCCTGCGTGCTGCCACCCATGGCTGGCTAGGGACAGCCAGAGGCTTTTCCTTGTGATGCTGGAGTGGGGTGAGCTGGCCGAGAGGCCTGTGTTCCTCTGTGAATTCACCAGAAACAGTGCCCCCAGCCCTCAGAGCCTCCCTCCTTCCACCACCAGTGGGTCTGCGCCCTCCCCCGCGTTCCGCCGCCGCCCCTGCCCCCGCCCCACGCGCTCACCACCCCCACTCGACGCAGCTACTCTCTCGCAACTGATGTGAAGCTTCTTTGGGTTTAGCAAGACTGCTTGTTTTCAGGGTGCTCCTAGCAAAGAGCTGAAGGGCACAGTGCAGAGAGCTGAGCTTCCCCGGGGTGGGGGGTGTGTGTGCAGTGGGCACAGCTCTGCGTGACTTGTCTCCTGGTCAGTCTTTAGGTGTGTGTGTCGCATGCTGCCAGGGTGTCTGTGGCCTGGACTAGGGTCCTGGGGTCCAGGAGGATGGCAGAGGACGCAAGGCCACGGCCTAACACGTGTGGCCAGCACGGGCGTGGCGAGTCCCCTCTTCTCGTCTGCTTGGGCTGCTGTCTATGGGCTTTTCTCCTGGCTGGCACCTGCGGACGGCATGCGTCCCGGCTAGCTGTGAACTTACCTTGGAGCAAGGCTGCCAGGCTTGACTCCGGCCGGCGACTCCAGTCCTTCCCCCGGCTTTGCCGATTTCTCTCGGTTCATTTGCTGCAGGATTGAGTTCAATTCACTAATGACATTAGCCTTTGGGCCTGAGAGAATCGGGCTTTTGACCTCCGTGATGTCACCCCACAGCTTGGAGGTCCTTGGCTGGATGACCTTGGCCACCCCGGACTGGACACTGCCCGGCGGCGGCGGCGGCGCGGGCGGGGGGATGACAAAGCCATCCGCGTCCTCTTCCAGCAGTGCGTCCTGGTAAAGGGCATTGCTTTTGTGAATTATGGGCTTCATTTTTGGCTTTGGAGGTACGGGGGGCTTGTCCACCACAAACGCTTGCCCGTCTGCATAGACTGTGCAAGTGTCCATACTGTCCCCACCTTCGGAAGACAGGGTGGAGATGCTGGACACTGTGGAGATAGTGCTGGTGGTCTCGAGATGGTGGTCGCTGCTACTCCGGCTGTCCACCTCCTCGATCCCAGAGTCGGCGACGGCGTCAAAGCTCTCAGGAGGTGGCAGGAACGAGGCAGGCAGACAGTTGGAGAGGCCGGCTGGCTTCTTCCTGTCTGCAGAGGTGGCTGGCGGGCTGGAGCTCAGCAAAGGGGATGGAGGGGTGTCGTTTTCCTTCGGTTTGACCAGGTCGGTGAGAGCGGGGACAGAAGCGGCACGGTCATCGGGAATATCAAAACTATTTGCAAATTCCAGGGGAGGAGGCAATGGCTCTGTAAAAATAAAATCCTCATCCAAGTCCACGGATGCCAGGGGGGGAGGAGGGATGCGGAATGGCAAGACCACCGCCTCCTCCACGGAGCCCGCCGTCACCATGGTCCTGCCGGGCGCAGCGGCGGGCTCGGGGGCAGCGGAGATCTGTAAAGCACCTTCGGTTTCGGAAACGCCTTCCGGCACCGCGGAGGGCGAGTGGTCTGGCTTCAGGTCCACGTCCTGCTTCTCCTCCTCTTCCTCCAGGGGCCGGCCCACCTTGGCCATGTCCACGGTGTGCACCATCAGCAGGCCGGCCGACTTCTGCTGGGCCGTGTCCACGATGTTGATGAGCATGTTCTTCTTGTCCTCGGCCCCCCGGGCCCTGCCCAGCTCCGCCTCATACTTGTTCTCTGTCTCCTGCCGCCGCAGGGGCCCCCGCGTGTTCTGCCTGCTGACCGGAGGGAAGCCGGCCTCCACGCTGGGCCGCATTTTGGTGTCAATGTAGAGGGGCTTGTTGAGGTCAGCCTTGGGGGCCTCCCCCTTGGGCCCCTGCTGGGACTCCTTCATGGCCCGGTCCCTCGCAGACAGCGCCAGGGCCAGCGGGGAGCTGGGGTCCAGCAGCCGCCCTGTCAGGGGGTGGACGTAATTCTCGGGGCTGGCCGCGCCACCGCTCTTGGCGGGTGCCGGGCCGCTCTCGGGCCCCTTGGCCTTGGCTATGGAATTAGGGGGCCTCGCGGCCTCCCCCTGAGCACTGGCTTCCCCAACACCGACAAAGTGGTTCTCTGGCTCCCTGGGCGCCGTGCCCGGGCTGGGCGACACGGGCTGCTCAGCACCATCCTCCTCACCAAACCCGCCCTCCTCAGGGAACTTGGAGGGCCGCGCCCGGGGTGCCGGTGGACCCAGGCCCACGTCCTCATCCCCCAGGTCGGTGGAGAGGAAGGCCGGGGAGTTCCTCCTGGCTTCCAGCCGCTTCTCCCGGTCGCGGACAGCCCCGGCAATGGCGGCCGCGAAGGGGCTGCTGACGGTCAGGCTGTCGTCGGGCCGCAGCTGGCCCGGCGGCTCGGCGGCCTGGGGGTCGATCTCTACGCTGCTGCCCTGGCTGCTCTTGCCGCTGCTGCTGGTGGAGGGCTCCTTGACGATGATGGTGGGGATGGGGATGGAGCACGTCTTCTCGGGGCTGTCCTCCACGTTGGACTGCTTCACCAGCATGCCCTTGCGCCTGGCCGGCTTGGCAGGGACGTAGACGGCCTTGCTGGCGATCTTGCCCACCTCTGAGTACGGGTTCTCCGGCATCTGGCCCCGCTTGCTGCGGAAGGTGGCCTGGGGCGCGGCGCTGCGGTTGTAGAGGTCTTCCGAGTCCAGGGAGTAGCGGTCCAGCTCGCGCCGGTAGAACATCCCTTTCTCCCGCATCATGGTGGCCACGGTGTCGGATCTGGTGGCTGGGGACACCCTGGCGGCCGCGTTCTGGTTGAATGCAGGCGTGATGGTCCCGTAGACCCTTGGAGTCGGGGACTTGGGGCAGTTGTAGGTGGTGGGGGAGGGCGGCGGGGGCGACGGGGGCACAGACTGCGGCGGAGGGGGGATGTCCTCCGAGGTGTCTGGCATGGACAGGCTTCGGGTGAACTTCAGCATCGGAGGGGCCAGAAACTGCCGCTCTTCCTCCGTGATTCCTGCGAGGAGAAGACAGGCCACGTTCAGCACAGCAGCACATAGATGCCGCACAGCAACACACAGACTCCTCACGCACTCTTTCAGGGCTGAGCAACACACTGCATCTCCACAGCTCACAGATGCGGCGACACTGGTTTGTGATGACACGCAGCGCAAGCCACAACGCGCGAGGCCAGTGATGCCCGCTTTAGCCAAGAACCAAAGGAAAGGAAAGCGCAGGGCTGGGGGCGCTGTGCACGCATGCTGCACACAGGAGCCGTGTTCACGTGCATGCGTGGAGAGGGTGCTCGTGGTGTCCACTCTGAGACCAGAGCGACGGGCCCCGGGCAGGTCTCCAGCTCACACCCTGGCCATCTGACCTCCCCGTGACTGCGTGTGCGTGTAGGTGTGCATGCGGGAGGCGGGCGACTGGCGAGGGCAGCAGGCATCCACCCGTGCCCGCCTGGCCGAGGGCCCTGAAGGCCTCAGGTTTTATCACCTGTCCCTACACTAGGGCCGCAGGTCTTGCTGAATTTGCTCATGTGCTCGGGTTGGCCTATGGAGCCGAGGGCTGAACCGCTGCTGAAATGGCTTCTGAGCGTGGTCGTGCCTGCCCGGCTCCCAGGCCGACCCACCGCCTGTCAGGAGAGCTGGCTGCAAGCTAGTGGGTGGTCCTGGGCATGTGGAGAGGAGGCACTGGTGCTGCTCGTGGTCTCTGAGAAGGCTTTGTCGCCTGACGTTGGCAGGCCACGGTGAGGACGGTGTGCGTTGCAGCCCGGCCGGGGTCCACAGCCGGGGTGGTGCAGGAGGCTGGCTCACAGGAAGGGCGAGTCTGGTCTGGAGCATGCCTCCAGCTCAAACCAGGAGTGGGGTCCTGGGCAAAGGTGCAGCAACGGGTCTGCCCGGCCCTGGCTGAGTTGCCATGGAAACTGTGCATCCTCTGGAACAGGGCCTCGAGGTGGGGCAGCTTATCATGAGTTAACCAGGGCCCGAGTGCAGCTGACTGGCACGAGATCAGTGTCATGTTCTGAGACTTTTGATTAATGAAAGCACGTGGGCTTTGAACAGGAGTGAGAGTGGGTCCAATCAAACTCCATCTCCAAAAGCACTGGCAAGGCCCTGCTGTGGTCATGGTGTCACCCAGTGTGACTGCAGCCCGGGGAAACGGAGACACAGACACAGACACAGACAGAAGCAGTGCACGGCGACGGACACCAAGGACCAGGGTCTCGGGCTGGGGACATGCGGGTTTCCCAAAGAGGCAGCAAAACGAAGTACTGGGGGGGTGGGGAGGGGGAATCCCCAGGACAAAATACAGCCATTTATTCCAATGATAAGGGTATTCCAAATTTAACATACTCCTGTGGGGGATAATTTGGCAGTTCAAAGATCAGGTTCTTAGTTGAGTAGTAGTGCCTCTGTTTTGGTGGTCTTACCTTCCCAAGGAGTAATAATTTAAGAATACACCTTATAACCTGGGGTACATTCAAAGTACAGATTGTCGAGCGGAAGGCTCACTGACCTGATAGAAAGATTCTGCTGTCTGAGGGGGAGATCAATCGTTATTAACCAGTACAGATCCAGAGGTGTGTGGAGGCGTGGAGGTGCTGTGAGCCCTGCGGGGTTGAGGGGGGGGGAGGGGAGCCTGGGGGAGGGGGGAGGGGAGGCGGGCAGCCACTGGGAGTGGCAAGCTTCATGGGTGGCAGAAACCACTAGGTCACTGACAGCTACTGCTGCCTCCTCCCCAAACAAGAACAAGTAAGCCCTGCCTCCAGCAGCATTTCTAGAACACACAGAACCATATTCCCTGGGACTGGCCTGGGGCTGGCCTGGGACTGGCCTGGGGCTGGCCTGGGACTGGTCTGGGATTGGCTTGGGGCTAGCCTGGGCTGGTCTGGACTGGCCTGGGACTGGTCTGGACTGGGCTGGACTGGCCTGGGACTGGGCTGGACTGGGACTGGTCTGGACTGGCCTGGGCTGGCATTGAGCCGGAGCTGAGGCAGAGCCACACATAACACTTCTTTCCCACCACAAGTTCCACTGGGAATGGCAGTGGCCTTGGCTGCTGGGGAGGTTATTGGTAGCTTCAACCAAAGGGACCGTCTCTAGGGGTCGGGCTTCGTTTGGCCTGCCCCCGCGTCAGTGGGGGTAAGCGGTGTGAGCGAGGTAGGCAAGCTGTTTTCTGCAACACACAGGGCACAGTTTCATTTGCGTTCAAGAACTGACCCGGCTGCCCGGAGAAGTCTGTTTCTTGAGCTCGTCCTAGGAAACGGGACCGTAGGGAGTCTGTTCACCCTGCCTGCTGCCCTCCCACCCTCCACCTTCCCTCCTTCCACACCACCCTCTCCACCTGCCCGGACCGTCACACATGACCTGGCTTCTAGATTAGAGAAAGCACCCTGGACTTCCTGTCCGTCAGGGGAGAAAGGCTTCCCACCCCTCGGGGTTCACACGGTGACCCGAGGGGAGGAGGGCGTCTGCGCAAGCCGCTCTAGGGGCCCAGGGCCCAGGACTCCCCGGGGCACCAGGGACTGCAGCTGCAGGCCAAGGGCGGGCCAGGCTTCTTACCTATGGACTTCTGCCTTCGCATCGTGCCTCGAGGGAGGCCCAGAAACGGGCCTGTTGGGCTCCCAGGAACGGTAGGCGTCATGACCGCGATCCCTTGGCGTTCGTACACAGACTGCAAACCAGAGAGCTGGGGTGAGAGGGGCCCCCTCCTGGGACCAGCAGCCGGGGGGCGGGGTGTGGCAGGCTGGTCACTGTGGCCTCCCTGGCTGTCCAGGGCCAGCACTGACAGCCAGGCGGAGCTCCCTGTGCGCCCTTCCCCTCAGCCTTGACAGCCCGCCGTGCCGGCCGGCCCGTCCGGGGGAGCCACTCATCGGGCCAGCTGTCCTACAGCACGGCAGTGGGGTCAGACCTGGCCAGTATTCTGGCCCACATGCCCTTTGACCTTGGCAGAGTCCTTATGTAAGAACCTTCATTTTCCTCCAGAAAGCTGAACAGTGTGTGCTGGGCACTGAGGGTCAGCCTGCAGTCCAGGCACGCAGGAGGCTGAGATTCAGATGATGGGTTGAGGATAGCACAAAGTACGCTAGGCTCCATCTCCAAAGGAGCCAACCAAGAGCCTGGCTGGAGCCTAGGCACGGTGGCTCACGCCTGTCATCCCAGCTACTCAGGAGGCTGAGATCTGAGGATCACAGTTCAAAACCAGCCTGGGCACGATAAGTTGTGAGATTCTTGTAGCAGGAAGGCTGAGTGGCAAGGAACAGACTTGCCTAAGTTCATTGCCCTGCGTTCTGGAGAAGGGGATGAAGTGACAAGAAATTGAAACATGGGAACAGAGACCCAAGGGGAGACAGGTAGAGGCGGGGCAGCCGGTGGGACCGCCGCTGACCGTGTGGAGGAGCTTTGCTTCTTGCTTCTGTAACCTGCTCGCTGCAGCATAGAAGGCAGAGCCCCGTGTTCTTAGGGCTCCAGCCTTTATGGTCGAAACTCGCTGAAGACAGTGTGAGCATAGAAAATACTGCTTCCCGGAAGCCTTGGTGCCGTTTCCCTGTCTTGATTTCCCACGACACTCCTGTCTCCAATCAATCAGCAAAAAAGCAGGAAGTGGAGCTGTGGCTCAAGTAGTAGAGTGCTAGCCTTGAGCACAAAAGCTAAGGGACAGCACCCAGGCTTTTGAGTTCAAGCCCCAGGACCTGCGTGTGCGTGTGCATGCACACACACACACACACACACACACACACACACACCCCTAACCGAAGGTCTGCCTCAAGTAGTAGAGCACCAGCAAAATGAGCGAGTAAGGCAGTCACGTGTGAGGTCAGAGTTTAACCCCTAGTGTTGCCCAAACAACAAAACAAAGCCCAACGAGGTGGCAGGGTGCCAGGCTCCTGGCTGGCGAGCAGGGTTCCTGGGCTGTTTGGGGTGCAGGCTTGCTCTGGTACACAGCACCCAACTTGCAGCAGATGGGCATTGTTGGCTGCTTCCCTGAGTCCTACTCAGGGGGCACCCTGGGGGGTCTGGAGGCCGACTCCTGTGTAGCCGCCGCTCACGGGGCGTTCGTTCCCCGCAAGGCCGAGGCTGCTGGCCAGCGTGCCTCACGGTGCCGGGAGGGAGCAGGAGGGGTGGGGTTTGAGGTGTGTTGGAAGCATGTTGGTCTCTTTGCTCTTGGGTCCCCAGCCCAGGGACAGGTCATCCTGGGCCCCTAACCTCTGGGGAAGGCTAGGAGGTCAGGGACACAGTCCCACAGGGTCTGGGGGAGCTGGGACAGGTGGGGTACCTCTGTGGAATCCTGAGGTTGAGGAGAGGAGCCTGAGGTGACACTCCAGTGTCTTCGGTAGCAGTGGTTTTAATGCCTATCACCTAAAATTTGTATTCAGTGTATGCAGTTTGTGGCGGCTGTTGTTTAGGAAGGCTAGATCAGAGTCAACTTGAAATGGAGGCAAAGCAAATAGAAAGCAAATGGAAAGAGCTAGTGTTTGGGTCTGGCCCCACGAGGGGCAGAAAGGGCTGCACCAGAAGCCCTGGGGTGCAGGGGTCTGCGTGACCTCGCCCAGGCCCAGGACTTGCCCAAGGGAGCTGCTGGGCAGCACCATCCCTTCCTTATGGGATGGTGCCCACGGCCTAGGGCTGGGGGCCCAGCACGGGCACAGGCTCTGAGCTGGCGCCTGGTGCCCTGGCACAGTGAAGCGTGAGGTATTGAGGCAGCCCCTGTTCTGTCACCCAGAGCCCCAACCAAATGTCTGTGGGGGACTCTGCCTGCAGAGGGCCACGGGTGCTGTCAGGGATGGGCTCCGAGGTCTGCGCAGGCAAGGAGCCCAGAGCCCTGTGTGAGGAGCCCTCCCATAGCTCCCGGTCCACGTTCAGATGGCCCATAATAGACGCCCGCAAGGCTTGGGGTGCAGTGGCTGAGCTGCCCAGGCTGGCAGGACAAAGGCTTAGAATGGACTGGGTCCCCCACTATGGTGGTTTTGTTGTTGTTTTTGCCAGTCCTGAAGTTTGAACTCAAAGCCTAGACTCTGTCCCTGAGCTGCTTCTGCTCAAGGCTAGTGCTGTACTACTTGATCCACAGCCCTACTTACAGCTTTTTTGGATTGTTTATTGGAGATAAGAGCCTCACAGACTTTCCTGCCCTGGCTAGCTTTGAGCCATGATCCTTCTGAGAAGTTAAGAGTAGAAGCGTGAGGCCCTGGCCCCCGGCCCCCACTATGGCTTACATTGGACAAGGGCACGTGTCTGTGGCTGCAGGGATTTGGGCTCTGAGCCTGCGTGAGGAGGGTTGTGACATGGACTGCTGAGCCTGCCTCCCACACACGCAAAGTCCGCCTGCCCCCTCCTGCCGATGTGAAGTCCATCTGTCTGCCCTCCAGGGCCCCCAGAGCGCCATCTCTAGCTCCAAGGCATGGCTACTCACATTCATATCGGAGACCGCTGGGAAGCACCGGCTGGTGGGCCTCTGCTTAATGGTCGCCACTCTCGACTCCATGGCTACATTCTCGGCAGTCCGAGAGGGCTTGGGGGCTGGGATAATCTCTTCTGGTTTGTCTGCAATAGACAGAGAGGATTGGAGCGACCACTGCCTCCAGGAGGAGCTGGCTTGGTTAGAATGCAAAAGAGCAGCGACAGCTCCAGCGCCTGGAGCTGCAGGCAGGCGGATCACGTGGGGCGCATGCATGCATCTTTCTCAGCCATATGCATCCAGTAGGGCCCCATGACCGGACCGCACCTGCCAGAGGGGCACATGCAGGTGGGATGGCGGCGGGCCTCAGCAGCTCAGCCCGCCCCTTTGCAGCTGCTACATCACCAGAGCCGGGAGCAGAGTCTCCACTGCCTCATGCCAGGGTCTGCCTTATCCACTTTTTGGATTGCTTTCTTTAATATTTTGAGATCAGGTCTTGCTCTGTAGCATAGGCTGGCTCTGAACTTGTGATGCTACTTCTTGAGAACTGGGATTATAGGGCTATATCACCATGCCAGGCTCAATTTGTGGAGTGTGTGTGTGTGTGTGTGTGTGTGTGTGTGTGTGTGTGTCCAGGGGCTTGAACTAAGGGCCTGGGTGCTGTCTCTGAGTTTTTGCTCAAGACTAGCGCACTCTACCACTCGAGCCACAGTGCCACCACTGGGTGTTTTTGGTGGAGTTAACGATTCTTGCAAACTTTCCTGCTGGGCTGGCTTTGAACTTTGAATACCATTCTCAGATCTCAGCCTCCTGAGTAGCTAGGATTACAGGTGTGAGCCACCAGCACCCAGCTTCAACTTGTAGAATTAAAAATAGAAGACTCAGAAATGGGGTTCCCTTTTGTAATCAAATGCAGTTTCCAAGATAAGAACCCTGTGCCCCGGGCTGGGCCACAGACAGTGCAGGTTCATGTGTGCACACGCATGCGTGCGCACACACACACACACGGAACTACCATTTATTCTCCTTGCACTAGAACATTCCCAGTTCTCAAGGAAGTCAAAAGCTTAGGTAATCCTTAAAAATTAAAGGAAAAAAAATATATATTTTAGAATGAACATTTAAGCCATGTTTTCTAACTTGAAAGGTGGGGCGTGTTCTGGAGCTGCCCGATTGATGGTGGGCGTTGTCAAGGGCCGTGTCTCAGGCTGAGACCCGCGCGCCAGTGTCCAGCCTCAGGTACCCTGCAGGGCCCTAAATGACCCCAGATGGAGTCCGTGCAGAGCCGTGCTGCGGGCACTCCCATGCACCCACAGAGGGCAGGAGGAGCAGACCATCTGGAATGTTCTTTCTGCAAGCTCAAGGCCTTCTCCTGGGAAACCCCAGCCCATTGCAGGGATCAGGTGGCTCCCTGTGAAGTGAGCGCTGGTTATATGTCTGTGGTGTTCAGGGAGCCATGGAAGCGGCTCTTCGATGGCCACTTCTGGAGGAGCTGGCCACTGGCAGCCTCCCTGTCCCCTTCCCCCCACCGCTGCCTTGCCGTCCCCTAGGGTGGTGAGGAAGACCTGAGGTCCCCACGGTGAGGGGCGGAGGGGACGAGCCAGTGCCATCACAGCCCCTCTGGCTCCTGCCAGATGGGACTCCGGGTTCCAGGGGTGCACAGGTGAGGGCAGCGCCCTCCGAGCAGGGCGGAGGCACCGGAGCGACCACACAGCTGTGGACCCACGAGCTCACGGGCTGGTCCTTTGGGAAAGATGTTTGCTGACACCGGACCATGTCCCTGTTTCACTTGCCAGCAACAGGTGGCAAAGATTCCTTAAGCGGCCTCTGCTGCCCTCCTGTAATGTGGCAGGCTGGCAGCCTCCGGCCCCGCTCCGTGCTCGGCCAACTCCAGCTGACTGGGCTCCGAGGTCCCCCGGGCCTCCTCGCACCCCCGGCCTCTGGCCTCTGCTGGGTGTCCAGGCCGCCTCCTGCTGCTGGGCCAGCTCACTGCCTGCTGCTGTGCTACGCAGGCCGCACCCGCTTGCCTCCATCCGCTTCCCATCCTGGCATCTGCTTCGTCCATGAAGCCACGCCCTTGGTTCTGGGCTGGCCTCCGTGTATGCCGATGGCTGGGTTGAACAAGCTCTGTGCCCATCTTCTCCCCTGCTCTGCCACCCCTGGCAGCCGGGCCTCGCTCTCCCCTGCCCGGGCTCAGGGGCGCCTGGCTGACTGTTGGGGCCAGTGCGGTGGCACGGCTGGCTTGGGTCAAGGGTGCTGGTCGCCTCAGGAGAGGTGCAGCCACTGGGGGCCCCCGCATGTTTCTCTCTGAGGAAGGGCGACGTCTCCCCGGAACTGGGGAGCCATGTCCACTTCTTCAGAGAGCCCCGCGAACTACCGCCTCTCATCAACGTGCTGGTCCTGACCTTCTGCCTAGGGAGACTGAGCGGGGGCCCAGCGCTGGGGGCAGGGTGGGGGGGCTGGAGTCTGACAGAGCAACGGGGCTTCCGACAGAGACACCGCAGTCCATGCGTGAGCTGCAGGAGGCAAGGGAATGGGGCTGCTGGCCTTGCCGGGCCCGCTGGGGCCTGTTGAGCGGAGGAGTGGGCAAGGCCCGGGAGGGCCTGGTGGGGCTTTGGTTGAGCTCCGTGGCTCCAGGTGGCAGCTGGGGCTGGGCTTCTGGAAGGGCGGTTATCGGCTGGAGCGGCGGTGGAGGCCTGAGACGCAGTGGTCTTCCGGGGAAGGTTGGGCCCAAGCTCACCTGGCGGCTGGCGGCCAGGACCTTGGTACCTGGGGGAGCAGGTCTGGCACACTGAGGAACAGAGCTCCTCTTGGGCGGCTGAGCTCGGGGCAAGCTTCCAGCTGGGCCCCTTCGGAAGCTGTAAATCTGCTTCTCGGGTGGCAGCAGACCACGCACTACCTGCGAAGTCTGGGCTGGCATGCGCCATCTCCCGCGGGGGGCAGTGGTTTGGGGCCTGCTCCCCCTTGGCCTGGCCGCAGGCACTCCAGAGCAGCTCTTGAGTGCAGGTGGGAGGGGCATCACGAATCCTTGCCCGGGGCCTGGTCCGGCTTGCTGCTTTTCATGCGGAGCGCACGGCTTTGGGAGGAGAGCACTTCACTTCCCCCAGGATGCAGTCTGCAGACCCAGGTGCTCACGTGAGGGTCACAGGGAGGTGCTCCAGAGTGCGCAGGATAAGGAGTAGCTCTGCCCACGGCCCGGCTCTGCCCACGGCCCAGCTCTGCCCACGGCCTGTGCTCTGCCCACGGCCCAGCTCTGCCCACGGCCCGGCTCTGCCCACGGCCCGGCTCTGCCCACGGCCCGGCTCTGCCCACGGCCCGCGCTCTGCCCACAGCTCGGCTCTGCCCACGGCCTGCGCTCTGCCCACGACCTGGCTCTGCCCACGGCTAGGCTCTGCTCACGGCCTGCGCTCTGCCCACGGCCTGCGCTCTGCCCACGGCCTGCGCTCTGCCCACGGCCTGCGCTCTGCCCACGGCCTGTGCTCTGCCCACGGCCTGCGCTCTGCCCACGGCCTGCGCTCTGCCCACGGCCTGCGCTCTGCCCACGGCCCGGCTCTGCCCACGGCCTGCGCTCTGCCCACGGCCTGCGCTCTGCCCACGGCCCGGCTCTGCCCACGGCCTGCGCTCTGCCCACGACCTGGCTCTGTCCACGGCCTGCGCTCTGCCCACGGCCTGCGCTCTGCCCACTGCCCGGCTCTGCCCACGGCCTGCGCTCTGCCCATGGCCTGCGCTCTGCCCACGGCCCGGCTCTGCCCACGGCCCGGCTCTGCTCACGGCCCGGCTCTGCCCACGGCCCGGCTCTGCCCACGGCCCGGCTCTGCCCATGGCCTGCGCTCTGCCCACGGCCCGGCTCTGCCCACGGCCCGGCTCTGCCCACGGCCCGGCTCTGCCCACGGCCCAGCTCTGCCCACGACCTGCGCTCTGCCCACGGCTTACTTCTCTCGCTCACCTACAGTCCAGTGCCCTTGTGCCTATCTTGGGATGAGAGTGCCACTTCTAGGAGCAAACCAGAGACGCCACAGCCCCGGGTGCTGGGCCCAGTTGCCCTGTGGGCACCAGCCACACCAGCCCAGCGGGTCAGAGGTCGTGGTCCCACACCCTCCGCTGCCAGTGTCGCCCTGGCCGGTGTGTGTCCTCGTCTTGTTGAGCTCAGGGTGTCAGCGTCCAGTCAGTGTGCACCCCCGGGGAGAGGGGGGACTTGTCGCAGGCCACAGGACAGGTCGCAGGACGGGGCAGGCCCTCCCGCCCCTTCTCAGTCCTGCAGCCATGAGGAGGCTCTGCTCTTCCCAGCTGCCGGCGGTGGCGGCAGGGCTCCGCGCAGGCCTCCTTCCTCCGTACCGTCAGGACGGCCTCTGCTTACTCTGTGGGACTCCGTCTTGGCAAAGGCCTTATTTCAGGTAAGATCCCCTTTGTAGGTTCTGCTGGGCATAGACTTTGGGGAGACATGCTCTGCAACATGAGCGGAAAGGCCAGGCCCGTTTCCTGTTCCCAGGCCTCCTGAGGAGGGAGGGGCAGCCTGGGGCAGGGCGTCCAGCTCCAATGTGTGGACCACATTCTGTGTTCAAACAAAGTGGGGTCCCATCTCCAAGACTCGGCCCTCTGAGCCCGCCCTCTGCGGGGGGGGCGGGGGGGGAAGGGGCGGGCAGGCGGCCCTGCGCCCCGGCGCCTTCTCTGCCCTGGGTCCCGTGTGCTGCTTCCCTGGGCCCGCTCTGTGGGGCCCTGGGGGCGCATTGTTGTCAGGGAGGTGGGAGCTGGTGTTGGGCCTGGGGTTGCAGGCCCCTCAGGTTAGAGAGCACCTAGAGAGGCAACTCCAGAAACCAGCCAGCGCATCCCCCGCGAGGCAGGGCTCCCTTCAAGGCAGGCGATCTGCTGCTGCCCGCCAGAAAGGAGGGCCTGCACGGGCCTTCGGCCGCTCCCTGCCTGGAGGCGGGGTGGTGGGGAGGGGGGAGGGGAGGAGGAGGCAGCCAGGTAGCAGGTAGCATGGCGGCCTTCTTCCTGTAGTGTGTGACCTGACTGCTCCAGCCCCTCCCGCTGTGGTGTCAAGGGCCTGGCTGAGCTGAGCTCGCAGGCAGGCAGCCGCATTCTCAATCATTCTCAATCCCATGGGGGGCTCTGGGTGTGTGTGCGTGCTCGGGCTGTGGACCCAGCGTCCCCAGCCGGGAGCCGGGTCGGGCAGGCAGAGCCGCTTCCTGGCAGTAGGCTGAGCCTTGACCGCCACTGCCCGCCACACACGTGCTCCTCCTGGGCTCCGAGGTCCTCAGGGCTTCCCAGCCAGCTCAGGCAGGATGTCCCCACAGCCCAGGGGACACACAGACAGAAGCCAAGCAGATGGAGACGGGGACGGGGACAGGGGTGGTGCTCGGGGCTGGACCCATGGGCAGAGCCCTGAGACAGGGAGAGGATGCAAGGCTCACAGCACATTCTAGACTTCACACAACCGTCACAGGGGGTTTCTCTTCTACTGAGGAGCGAGGGGCAGGAGGACTGGAGACAGACACTGGCTTCCCTTACCCTTCTTCTTCCGGACTGAGGCTTGCAAACAGAAAGGGGAGCGATGTGAGCCACGGCCGATGGCAGAGCCCCCCACAGCGCGCACCCAGGGCCTTGCCCTGCTCTGCTCAGGGTGCTCATGGCAGAGGCAGGGAGGGCACCGTGCAGGGGTGGGGAGAGGGGCTCCCAGGACCAGTGCCTGCGCTCCAGCTCCTTCTCATCTGCTAACCAACTCCCTTCCTGACAGGGAAGGCCCGGGGCAAAGAGGGAGAGAGCTCTGCTGGGAGGCTGGGACACAAATCAGGCTTGAGGTTGACCAGCTAGGAAGGCAGAGGGAGGGAGGATAGAGGGAGGCTGGGACCGGGGGGAGGCCGAGGGCTGGGAACACAGAGGAGGAGGGAGGCCGAGGGCTGGGAGCACAGAGGAGGAGGGAGGCCGAGGGCTGGGAGCACAGAGGAGGAGGGAGGCCGAGGGCTGGGAGCACAGAGGAGGAGGGAGGCTGAGGGCTGGGAGCACAGAGGAGGAGGGAGGCTGAGGGCTGGGAGCACAGAGGAGGAGGGAGACCGAGGGCTGGGAGCACAGAGGAGGAGGGAGGCTGAGGGTTGGGAGCACAGAGGAGGGAGGCCGAGGGCTGGGAGCACAGAGGAGGAGGGAGACCGAGGGCTGGGAGCACAGAGGAGGAGGGAGACCGAGGGCTGGGAGCACAGAGGAGGGAGGCCGAGGGCTGGGAGCACAGAGGAGGAGGGAGGCTGAGGGCTGGGAGCACAGAGGAGGAGGGAGGCCGAGGGCTGGGAGCACAGAGGAGGAGGGAGGCTGAGGGCTGGGAGCACAGAGGAGGGAGGCTGAGGGCTGGGAGCACAGAGGAGGAGGGAGGCCGAGGGCTGGGAGCACAGAGGAGGAGGGAGGCCGAGGGCTGGGAGCACAGAGAAGGAGGGAGGCTGAGGGCTGGGAGCACAGAGGAGGAGGGAGGCCGAGGGCTGGGAGCACAGAGGAGGGAGGCCGAGGGCTGGGAGCACAGAGAAGGGAGGCTGAGGGCTGGGAGCACAGAGGAGGAGGGAGGCCGAGGGCTGGGAGCACAGAGGAGGAGGGAGGCTGAGGGCTGGGAGCACAGAGGAGGAGGGAGGCCGAGGGCTGGGAGCACAGAGGAGGGAGGCCGAGGGCTGGGAGCACAGAGGAGGAGGGAGGCCGAGGGCTGGGAGCACAGAGGAGGAGGGAGGCCGAGGGCTGGGAGCACAGAGGAGGAGGGAGGCCGAGGGCTGGGAGCACAGAGGAGGGAGGCCGAGGGCTGGGAGCACAGAGGAGGAGGGAGGCCGAGGGCTGGGAGCACAGAGGAGGGAGGCCGAGGGCTGGGAGGCCTCTGTGGAGCCCCATGAACGTGTGCTGCTTGCTTATGCCCCAGTGGACCCCAAGGCCCCGGGCAGAGCCAGTGAGGGCTGCTCCTCTTGGAGTAGGACACGGGACGCGTCCACTGCCCAGCCCTGGCTCACAAGGGAAGGACATGGTGTGGGTCACGTGGAGGATGGGAAGGCAGTGGGCGCTGCTGCCTAGCCTCAGACTCTGCCCTGGAAGGTTGGGGTGTGCGTGTTCATGTTAGACTCCTCCCCGGAAGGGCTGGGGCGGGTCTTGTTAGACCCCGCCCTGGAAGGAGGGGTGGGTCTTGTTAGACTCTGCCCCGGAAGGGCGGGGTGGGGAGAGGAGCCCTGCTGTGCTGCCCCAGGATGTGCTTTCCGCTGGCTCTGTGTCCTCCAGGCGGCTCAGGGTCCTTGGCGCTGTTGCCGGCCTGCAGCCTGCTTTCCTCCGCTTTCTCGCCCCGTGCCCCCTGTGGCCTGCTCCAGGCTGCTGCTCACCCTTACCCCCCCCCCCCCCCCCAGGCACCATCTGCTCTAAAGGCACGCACGGAACCGAACCCGGTGTGCAGAGCCTCCTGCATCCCCCGGTGTGCAGAGCCTCCTGCATCCCCCGGGCATGGCCACACCTGCTGGCTGGGGGAGGGGTGGGCCGCGCGGAGGCGGGGTCAGAGGGGGGCCCTGGACAGCAGGGACCCCTTGGGGCGGCTTACCTTTATCCACTAGTGAGAGGCCCAAAAATTCAAAATAAAACAATGTTAGATAACCCCCACCATACCAGCACCCCGTGAGGCCCCGGGCATGCAGAGGGCAAAGGGCGTGCAGCAGCGCCACGCGGGTGGGTGGAGGGCAGGCCAGCAGCACAGAGCCATGCACAGGGCATGCGGCGGGCAGGGCGGGGCTCTGGTGGCCCCGGGGCCCGGGCGGGCAGCAGGGTCCGGGCGAGGGCAGTGGCTCTTACCGAGCTCCTCCAGCTCCGCTGTCATGGACTTGGAGCGCAGCGTGAGGGCTGTGGTGGGCGCCCGCTTTGGAGGCGGCGGAGCTTGATGGGTGGACAAAGGCCGGCGTGAGGACCCCCGCAAAGCCCTGGGACCCCCACAGGCTCAGCCGCCCCCTGCCCCCAGGGTGGGGAGAGCCTGGGTTTTCCAGGGCGGCCCGCAGGGGGGCCAACACGACAGGGGGCCCTGGCGAAGGGCGCTGCTGGTCTGGGGATGGGGCGGCTGGGCACCGGCCGGGCGGAGGGAGCAGCAGGCCTCTGCGTGGTGCTCTGCTGAGGTCAAGTAGGGCGTAGACCTCCCTCCTGCTAATGCAAGTTCTGGGGAAGGCTGGGGCTGCCCTTGGATCTGGGGACCCTACCAGTCCCACAGTCACCCCAGGCCCAGCCGCCACAGGGCTGCCGGGAGAGGAGGCCCGCGCCCCTCCACCCCTGCCCTGTCCCGGAGTGTCCCAGCCTCAGGGTCCCCTGGATGGAGGCCGGTCCGGCCAGTGTCAGGACCCTGTCTGTGTCCGGGCCTTGAGGCCCCTGCTCTGCCAGGAGCCAGGAGGACCCTGCGGGACACGCACCTTTCTTCCTGGCAGTGTCGTCAGGGTCCAGACTCCGGGTCACCGTGGCGACCTTGAGGATGAGGTGGTTGCCGCCCTGTCGGATCATGGTCACCACTTGCCTGTGGCCCACCTTGACCACATTCTCGTTGTTGACCTGCGGGCAGACGGGGCACACCAGTGGGTGGCAGGCCGGCTGGGGCAGGTGGAGAGAGATTTGGGGTCCCCCGCTGGGAAGTGGAGCCCCGACACCACAGTGGCTCTGGAGGGTGCTTCACTGTAGGGGTGGGGTGCCTGCAGCCCGCACCTTCCACACGTGCCCCCCCCCCCCACTGCAGCCAGGCCACGCACCCCAGTGTTCTCCAGTTCCCAGGGCCCGCGGCTCTGTGTCTCCCCTGTGCCCCAAGATGTCCAGGGGCTGCAGGCACAGCACTCCATCTTCACAGTGAGAAAGAAACACAGTCCACCCTTGTTTCCCGTGTATTTTGGAAGCATGCATCACACTGACACAGCCCCTTCCCCAGCGCCTCCTTTCTCCCTCCCGAGGCCTGAGATGGCATGGAGGGCTGGCTCTGAGGAGCTGGCAGGGCACAGCCCGTGCTGCATCAGGAGGTGGGCTGTGTCTCCATGCTTCTGGGACAAGGGACGCAGGGCCAGAAGGCAGAGAGGAGCTGGGCGCCGCTCGTTCATCCCATAACCCTGGCTACTTGGGAGGCTGAGATCTGAGGATCACAGTGTGCAGTCGGCCCAGGCAAGAAAGTCTGTGATGCCCTTATTTCCAATTACCTGGCAAAAAGCTAGAAGTGGCCAGGGGCTGGGGCCTGTAGCTCACGCCTGTCTTCCCAGCTATTCAGGAGGCTGAGCTATGAGGATTGCGGTTTGAAGCCTGGGGACTCTTTGAAGTCTGTGGGACTCTTATTTCCAATTTAGCACCCCCAGAAAAGCCATCTGGCTCAAGAGGTGGAGTACTAGCCTTGAGCAAAAAATGCTCAGGGACAGTGCCCAGACCCTGAGCACGGGCTTCATGCGTGCACGACCTGCGGTCTGCATAGCCCCGCGGGGGCTGGACAGGCCGGAGCCCCGTCCTGGCCCTCCCACGAGCTGCCGTCTGCCTAACCTGGTGTGCTCAGGAGCACCCACCCCCAAGCCACAGCTGGAGCCAGAGCCACGGGGGACAATGTCTGCCACACAGCCAGGAGGGCGCCTCGTGACTCTGCACCCTGGCCTTCCCTGGTGCCCTCGTGGGGCAGGAGGGAGGGGCTGCACTGGAGAAGGCCATGCGACGAGCAGGAGGTGCCCTGTGCTGTGTTCCCAGTCACGGCAGCAGCCCCAGCCAGGCTGCAGCCGGGAGAGGACAGGCAGTGCCAGAGGCCGTCAGTGCCTTCTGTCCATCCCAGCCTCCAGGGCCGGAACCCCGCCCAGCCGTGCTCCAGCGCACGTGCGTCGTCAGGGGCTTGTCAGCGGTCAGGCTTGCACACAGGAAGGTCAGAGCCCATCTCCACCCGCCCCACTGTGGGGAGCCTCCGACTTGGGCTGCGTGTGCTGCCATGGGCCTGGTGGGGAGGGCTGGTGACCCCATCAGCCACCGCTGCCTTGGGTGCTATCTGCTTAAGTTTGGAAAGGGATGAAATGAACTTGGCACGTGGCTGGTCTTGAGCTGAGTCCTGGTGTCACCTGGGCTGTTGCTTCTGACTTGCTGCGACACCCGGAGCACAGGCCTGGTGCGCTCGGGCTGCTGGGCAGGGCTGGCGCTGGCGGGCTCCCTGTGGAGGGGCGGGCGGCGGGCGGCGGGTCACACAGTGCTGGCGGCAGCTGTCCACCCCATTTGTCACTGTGCTGCCTGCTCCGTCAGACCACAGGCGTACGTCTACCAGGTGGTGAACGTGACATGGACCCCCTTATTCCCCACTGCCCCAGTGCAGTCGGAAGTGGTCAGCAAAATGTCCCCAAGTGTCCCAAAGCCTGATGCTGGGGATCAGACTTCAGCTTGGTGAGAAGCTGGGGTGACAGGTGTGAGCCTCCTTCCCCTGGCCCTCCCCCACTCCCCAGCACCGCTGTCCTCCAGCTGTGTTGACATCAGCGTTTTTTTTTTTTTTTGTTGGTCGTGGGGCTTGAACTCTGGGCCTGGGCGCTGTCCCTCAGCTCTTCAGCTCAAGGCGAGCGCTCTACCACTTGAGCTACAGCGCCACTTCCGGTTTTCTGGTGGTTTATTGGAGATAGGAGTCTCACGGTCTCTCCTGTCCGGGCTGGCTTTGAACCGCGATCCTCAGATCTCAGCCTCCTGAGTAGCTAGGATTACAGGCGTGAGCCACCAGCGCCCGGCGACATCAGCGTTTTAACTACACCAACCTTTAGGCTTCCACCCTGGCTATGCAGCACCCATTCATAGTGAAGTCATACAGTTTACTGTGATTACTTTGTCTTTTCCTGTACATTTTTCCTGTGGAGCAAAATAATTTATTGGCTTAATTTTCTGTGTACTTAACAGTAATTCAAATCCAAACAGTTCTCTAATTATGTGAATCACTTCAAAACCCTCAACTCCACTAGGTATTTTAAATTTGTCTTTTTCCTGAAGAAATTTCTCCCGAAGTCTTGTGGTTTGCTCTGAGTGGTTGTATTCTGTGTTCGAAGCCTGTTGTCCCATGGCTGCCATCTCAGGACGTGGCTGTCTCTGAAGCCAGGCCCATGTGCATACACATTCACACAGCCTTGCTTAGACAGAAGATATCCCCTAAACTCCCAGTATGAGGATTGTTTTCAATATACACCACGGTGGCTTTACTGTAACAGTTGGCACTTTGGCTGGGTATAAAAATTCGAGGCTGGAGGATAAGATAAAGGAAGCTTCTAGTACTAATTCCTCTGCAGGTAACAAGGACAGAGTCTGAACAAAATACAGTCCTCCCCCCCACCCCGACCCAAATGGGAACACTCTTCAAAGGCTTTGGAGTCTGAGCACAGCAGGCAGCTTCCAGACAGGGGCCTCAGTAAGCGCCCTCCTCAGACCAGGGCCCTTGCCAAAGCTCACCAGAGGGAACCTATGAAGTTGGACGAGACAGCCAGGGTGGCCACAGCACTCAGAATACCGAGGGGGGAGGGTGTCTCAGCCAAGAGAGATGGAAGGCGTGCGCTGCGCACTGTGGACAGGCTTTCCTGGGCCTCTGGTTTATGTCTGCGAGTCTAGGGTAAACCAGGGCATCTTGGAGGTGAGGATGAAGCACTCAGATGGAAATGTGAGCTGCTGCCATTGCAGGGCAGCCAGCTTGCAGCGCGAGTCTCATCGCACGGAAACGGTGGCCGAGGGCAGAGCTGCCACACACCCAGGACACGTCCAGGCCCTGACCCGCGGACGCCCTGGACCGGGAACCCTCAGACAAAGAACTCAGAACAGCCACCATAACAATACTTAATTAGGTAAGGAAAAGAGAATGAATAAAGGGAAACATCAGCAATGAAATACAACCTGTGAGCATTTAAAGATGCAGTGGTACAGAACAGAATAGATACAACAGGGCTAAGAGCCAGCGACGCCACAGAACCCACCCAAGCCGGAGGGGGGAGGGAGAGGAAGGAGAGGGAAGGAGGAAGAGAGGAGGAGGAGAAGGGGGAAGAGTGGAGAAGAGGGAGAGGAGGAAGAGGGAGGAGGGGGAGCGGGAGAGGGAAGAGAGGAGGAAGGAAAGGAGGAGGGGGAAGAGGATGGAAGGAGAAGGGGAGAAGAGGGGAGGAGGAGGAAGAGGAGGAGGGGAGGAAGAAGAGCTTTGAAGAAATCAACAGTGGTTTGGATGCATGGGACAACACAGCTTCAACGTAATGATTTCAGGAGAGAAATGGATCACTGAAAACTTGGGGAAACAATGGGCCCCAGATGTCCTCTATCTGGTGAAATAAATCCACAGATCCAAGAAGCTCAGCAAGTCTGAACAAGACAGAAGCGCACGGGTAGACACATTTTAGTGAGTTTGCTGAAAGCCAGGGTCCAGGTGGGGATCTTAAAGCCACCATGACTTTCCATCCGCCACTGCAGGCTGGCGCTGGCTCTGGTGGGCACGCCTGTGATCCTAGCTGCTCAGGAGGCTGCGACCTGAGGACTGCAGTTTGAAGCCACCCTGGGCAAAAAACTCTATGACTTTTTTTTTTTTCAGAGCTGAGGATTGAACTCAGGGCCTTGCTCTTTCCAGGCAAGTGCTCTTCCCCTGAGCTAAATCCCTAACCCTTCCACGAGACTCAAATCCAATTAAAGACCCAAAAGCCAGAAGTGGAGCTGTAGTTCAGGTGGTAGAGTGCTCGCTAGCTTTGAGCACAAAAAGCTTGGGAGCAGCACCCAGGCCCCAAGTTCAAACCTCAGGACTGGCACAAAAGAAAACAACACAGAAAACTGCAGGCCGGAAGACAGTGGCATAACCTCTCAGTGTGTGAAAGAACTTTCTATGTCTGCTTAAAATACCTCGAAAGAATGAAGGCAAACTAAGACCTTCACCAATAAAGACCAAGTTATGTGTGGGCGGTACATGAGCACTCTAAGGAGGGGCGGGGCGGGGCGGGTGGCAGAGCTCTGCTGAGCATGCTTCCAGTGCCCACAGTGCCCCAGAAAAGGTGTCCGAGGAGCCCCTTCAGATCGGAGGCATAAAAATGGTCAAACGTTAAGTAGAAGATTGCTTTCCTTCTTGATTAAAATAGGAGTAGGGCAAAGAGAGCTGTACAAGACATTATGTCAAAATATGAACTTTACAACTTTGGCCAGGGGCTTGGGGGGGGTGGGAAGGGGGAGGGGGGAGGGGAAGGGGAAACAAAGGAGGAGGCAACAATGCTTGATAAGAAATGTACTCATTACCTTGCCCATGTAATTGTAACCCCTCTGTATGGTATTTTTACAATAGCCGGACGCTGGTGGCTCACGCCTGTAATCCTACCAACTCAGGAGGCTGAGATCTAAGGATCTTGGTTCAAAGCCAGCCTGGGCAGAAAAGTCTGTGAGACTGTTATCTCCAATAAACCACTAGAAAACCGGAAGTAGTACTGTGGCTCAAGCCTTGAGCTGCTCGCTTGAGCTGAAGAGCGCATGGACAGCGCCCAGGCCGAGTTCGAGCCCCACAACTGACAAAAAAAAAAAAAAGACTAAGACAAAGAACACACGGTGTGGACTGTTTACAAGTA